TTATATGTATAATACATGCATTTTGCATCTGAGCGAAGCCGGGGCGAGTCGCTAGTATTATATATGAGAAAGTTTAATGTTAAAGAGGCATTAGACTTCACATTTAATAAACAATTGACTAATATCCCATTTAATACTATCAATAACAATTCTACTATCAAACACACGTCAAATTCTGACGTTAATAATTATTATTTGAAGGTTGGTAGCTCTGTAAATAACGGTTATGAACGTCATCCGATCATTTGTCAAAGTTGACAGTTCCAATTTTGAATACAAAAGTTACGGAGCGGACGTGGCATCGTAAGTATATTTGGTTACTGTCAAAATATTTCTCATTAGAGTTGTGTTTATGTTGCTTCAAGGTGAAGGGTTATCGTAAAGGAAAAAGTTATTAAATGTTTGTCAGTTGTCTTTTATTGACCCTATCTATATATTTTGTGATGCCACCTGAAGTGGAAGTACTCTTAATATTTAAGATAGAAAATGAAACTAAAGAAAACATTCCTTTATTTTTGAAAAGAAACAAAACTGCATACAAACATTTTCAAAAATTTGCTTGCCTCACACCGTAATGGAACCGATTAAAAGCTGTCAAAGTTTGCACCCAGTACTTTCATTGTAAGTTTATTTATTTATTTTAATATATATAAAATGAAACCCGTTTCCCGTTGTCACGCCATAACTTGAGAACGGCTAGACCGATTTGGCTGATCTTTTTTTTTATTGCATATAAAACGAACAGACGGATTACCTGATGGTAAGCAATCGGCGTCGCCCATGGACACCTGAAATACCAGAGGCGTTACAAGTGCGTCACCGGCTTTATGGGGATTAGGAGTTTGAGAATCGTTGGAGATTCAGGGATTCGAGAGATTGGGGAAGGGGAAAGTAATTGGGCCTCCGGTAACCTCACTCACACGACGAAACACAACGCAAGCGTTGCTTCACATCGGATTTCTGTGAGGCCGTGGTATCACTCCGGTCGAGCCGGCCCATTCGTGCCGAAGCATGGCTCTCCCACACTTAATTTTTTTTTTGTTTTATTTGTTATTGTTAGGAAAAAGTTCTTACGACAGAAAAAGTCCTGAAAATCCTACGGGAATGGGAGAAAACGGGATTGCGCGTACGACGTCGCGGGCAGAAGCTAATATTTAATATACTTGACACTTCCGCCTGGTTTAACCCGATCTGCTAATTTCTATTGATTTTAGCGTGATGTTTTATAGCCTATAAGCTTCCTCCATAAATTGACTATTCAATATAAAAGGATTTTTTTCAAATCAAACCAGTAGTTCTTGAGATTCGAGCGTCGAAACAAACGTTGGAGAATCCTACTGTGACTTGAGACTATTAATAGAGCTTTATTCAATATTTTAAAATCAAAGCCAAAGTGGGTCCTGTTAAGCAGAAAAGATCCAGCCCACATTTTATCACTTTTGAGTAAATGAAGTTTAATGTTGAGCTGATAATAAAAAAAAATTATGACACACTACCTTTTTAATGGGACAAGCCCGCTACAACCTCCCAAACCCGCTGCAACTCCTGTAAGCCAGGATTTACAGTAGATACAATCATGAAACACCGGAACACTAAAGTCCGGCGCGTCCCAGGGACATGAATAACTGTCTTGGTTCCCGCAACGAAGTGAATCAGAAGATATTATAAGAGGAGAAGAAAAAAAACGATAGTTTCCACTTGCCTCGGTGAATTACTGCAGGAGACAGATTGAATTAAGCCTAAAGGCACAAAGAAAAGAGACTGTACAACTGGGTGGAGCCCAGTCGCCAAGCACCACGGAAATTTGACTAAAATCTAAAATGACACAGTACCTATTGAATAGGTACTGATTAAATTCTTTAAACTTAATTTACTAAAAAGTAATAAAATGTGGGCTGGATCTTTTCTGTTTAAGGGGTCCAAGTTAGGAAACCACTATTTTAAATCAATAATAAGTTTAATATGTCAAAGCAATCATATTTCTATTCACTTTTTCGATGAGCGCTGAAACGTTACGTATTTGTCCAGGAGTCGGGAATAGATTTAAATTCTATATTAATGTCATCTTACACGTACATATTTCAATGTTAAAAAATACAATTGAAACATATTATATTAATAAAAATACAATTTATAATATATTAAACTATAAGTAACTTACCTACGTACTTACGTGTGTCGTTTGAAATTTCCATAAATTTCTTTAATGGAGAATTTTAACAAATATGTTGTAATTCCATTCCTAATTTTATATTAGTCACGTTAAAATATAAACTGTTTAATTACATTTCATAATTAATGTTTTGTTTGTTTTAATTTAACTTAACTACAAATATAGAGTAATAAAAATATAGAATTAAGTTTTGCACGATATTTTCGTTCGTAGTTATTTTGGCGCCAATCCGCCATGTTGTATTTTTTGACATTTGGTATTTAACATGGCTACTCCTTTCTTATTATTTACATGTCACGGAATGCATTCTCAATTTAAAATTAAACATAAAACTATCGTTTATCTTGAGAAAAGTAAAAATACCGTTGTTGACACTATATTACCACTGACATTTGTTAAAATTCTCCATAGTATTATCCTCCTCGAAAATGTGATTATCTAGATACATATTTATTTAAAACTAATTGTAATTTAAAAAGATCTAATGTTCCAAAGCTACATGAAAAAACATGCAATGGATATAAAAAGACAATAAAAGAGAGTTGCTGTCATTCTCTATCATTTTTAAACTTAAACGTACACATTTTTTATATTTGATGGGTCGACGTTTGGCCGATTTTTTAGCCATTAAATGCAATATTCACATCATCATTGCAAAGACGTCTTATAATTGATACTGTCCGATTTCAGCTTAGACTAGCTAATAGTCACGCCGCGGAAGACTTAACGGGTTGCCGGGCCTCCGGCTCGAAGTGCAGGACTAGGAACGGGGTGGTTTTTAGTCAGTAAGAGTCTGACACTCCCTCTTGCCTCACCCAGGCGGGAGAAGCCATTGGATGATTTTCCCCCCTCAAAAAAAAAAAAAAATACAAAGGATAGTAAAGTGTACAATTTATCGGTTACTTTTTTTAAGAGGAGAAAATCATCTAATACTTCTGAGGCGAGAGTGGGAGTGTCAGACTCTTACATACTAAAAACCAGCCTAATTCGGCTTTCAGCCGGAGGCCCGGTAACCTATAAGTTGTCTGAAGCTCCGGGTCAGGCATCAGCCATAATGTGCCCCATCTGTGGTGGTTATCTGACCACCACAGATGGCTCACACTCTTTGAGGAGCGCGGGGAATGAAACGCTCCGTTCGTACGGGTCTGGTTGTGATCAGGTGGCGAGCTACCCTTGCTTGCAGTTCGTAGACTTGCACTTACGCTGGCCGAAGATCGTAAGTATCTGCTACTTGGCTATAGAATTATGGTCATTTGCCAGATATCGAGCAGAAGTACACTCTGATAAATAAACGTAAATTGTGATCTTCCACCAGCCTACTAAGCGTGAATTATAGCAAATCTCTTATAGGAGGCTAATAGTACAGTGGACTATCAAAGATGTTGACTGTTGATGATATTGTTGAGTGTTGAGTCTATTCTCTAAGTTCAGCATGACAGTAACTCTCTTAATAAACTCACCTGGAATAGGTGTAGGAGCTACGGTAGGCCCAACCGTGATACTCTTTCCAAATGCTGTCAAAGCCTCCGATTGGCCAGTCATCCAGCCAATTAAAGCAAAGGCTAGCACAGCCTTAGTAGTCAGCCGATAATACCACATCGCGAAATGTAAACCACGCATTTTAAATGCTGATTCAGAACGAATATTTACGTCGTATTTAATCTGTGCTCAATCAAGATGACGCGAATTTTTTATCTGTAGAAGAGTTTTGGCGGTTCTTTTTAAAGGCGGTTAAAATTTTTTAACAATATTTTTGAAATATAACGAATTTGTGTATCAATATTTTTTATTTTCAAATCTTCTAAGATTTAGACCGATTTTAGGAACGATAAATAGAGAGATATCATAGATAAATTCTGTCTCTTAGTTCTGTATTTAAGCAGAAAATATCAAATCTAATACTATGTTATCAAACCTATGTTATTACTTTTATGTATTTTTTTTGTTTTTTTTCTTTTTGTTAAAATTTTTTCGTGGATCTAATTACAAATTGCCAATTGAACTTAACTACAAAGTCTAATCTAATCTATATTTCTAAATTATTACAATGGTTCATAGCTAAACTACTATGAAGAATGCTTTTATTAGAATATGACCAAATTGGATAATATATCAATTTTGTTATGGAATTTGATGTGATCAAATCGCATATATCTTTTGTTACAATGTAAAATTTTGTCAGTTAATGTTATTGATTCAGCATTGTTTACATTGTGAAATGGTATTTGATAAGTAAAGTAGGTATTAAGTAAAGATATCCAATCAATTTAGTTTGGCCTGTAGTTGTATAGATTTCAAAATGACAGAATATGTTGTCAAGACGAAGACGACGATGTTTATGTATGATGGTATTCTTTTAATATTTATTATCTGTTTGATATCTTTGTTGCACAGATTACCTACCTGTAAAATTGGCCCTAACACTGAAATACTCAAACTTAAATTTTAAATCGCGCTTAAATATAGTTCTGTCAATACGAATCCTTTGTAAAATGATCGAGATATTTAAGTACAAGTTAAAACTGAGTAGCCTTTCAGTATTAGGGCGTAAGTGTTGTATTGTTTCTTAATTTTAAGTTTGTATAGTCTGTCGTGGACATAATTGTTGGCGCCATACGTTTTTCAAATGTTGTAACACTGACATCTGTAATTTTTCCCTCCATTATACGCATCACCACAGATAAAAATTATATAATTAACCTAAAAACATGACAGCTAAGCTATTTTTTTAACAGCCTAAGACAGCAGGCGTAATGTTTGTGTGTGTGATTGTATGGAAGCTTGTTTTGTTTGTATGTATGATTTATGTATGTAAGTAAATTCTTACCGGGTGCGGCAGATGTCGTTGCTGGCTTCGGTGGATCTGTGTTAGCCTTCCCGAAGGATGAAATCCCAAATCCCTCAGTACACTGTATGTTTAGCCAACCGACTATAATAACGGGCACAATGGCTAAAGCATGCCTTTTGTGCCACATTTTAACACTCTTCTACCTCTCTGAGATAGTTATTGTAACAAAGTAGGTTTGTTAACAATATACCTAAACTATTTATGTCAAAAATAAAAAGTATAAATTGTCTATGGAATATCAAACGTCAAAATTTGGCGCCAATTTGTTTTGACAGTTTATGATTTGTCGTTGTACAGACGTTTGGTCATCAAGCCACGATAATGTGAAATTTCTTTATTAGATTTTCAATTCTTTAACAGAAGAAGTGAAGTCGAAAATCTATTGAAGAAATTGGGCAATTTGAAGTAGCTTGACGTGCTGGTCTGTATCTAACAATTGTGTAGTAAAGCTGTGTTTGTTTTGAGCGTAACCGCTAAAGTTTGCAAGTCAGCCCAAATAAACATAATATTTGTTTTCTGTTCAATAAAAGGCACTATTGTGTGTTGTGTGTCATTCCTCTGAATTACCAAGCATTTTGTATGAAAGGGACTGTTTTCTTTTCTGTTGGTTGGTACTTGACCATGAAGGTATCATGGATATTAAAAAAGAAGGAATTACTTTATGAAACACAATTTTAGTAATGTTAGCATTGATTTAATTTTAAGAGAAATATTAAATGGACTTTGTGACTGTAACTTATTAACTTAACCTGACAGTTGATGTTGGGCTCAGTAATACGAGGAATGTGTTTGTTTCATGTTTTAGTGAAAAGTGTACATTTATACCATGTATTTGTTACACGATAACCCACTAAATGTTAAATAAATGTTACAAAAGTCTTTAAAAACATGCCATTTTAATTTTAAATTGTACTTTTACTAATTTAGTGAATTATCGTATAGAATTTGTTGGAATTCGATTGTTTTCAGTTTTGTTTCCGCCTCTACCAAAATAATTTATATAATGAGACAAATTAAATGTAAAATACTATTAATTATCAAACGTCTATTCACATTGAAAGCAAAAATAACCAATTGAACGTTAAAATAACAGACTGTCATACCTTTTTTTTAAAATCCTTATAACAAAAACATATATTAAATAAATCTATATTTAAATAACGCAAATATATACAGGCAATACACAAACTAAATTTTGTTAAAGAAAAATACATCAATTTTGATTTATAAATAAGCTTTAGTCTGTACACGATAATTTATTTAAAAAAATTATATAAAGTGGAGGTCCCATTATATAAAAAAATGTCTTACCCGATGGCGGAGTAGGCGATGGTGTCTTTAATGGCGATTCAGTTTTAATAACGCCAAAAACGGGACTAAACGCACCGAAACATTGTCCAATTAACCATAAGAATACAAGAATAGGCATAATACTAGATTTCCTTTGCCACATTCTTTACTACCAACTCTGCAAAATGAACTGTCAATGTCAATTTTGAATTTGGAAATGTCATGAAAAAGAGGATCGTGTAAAAAGTGGCTGTATGTACAATATATACAGATTGTTTAGTCTTTCCGACGTTATTTTACATTTTGTGATAAATATAAAGCTTTGTAAGTAATTTTAAATTGTAGTAAACCTGTATTGCTTGTTGCTAAGGTCGCCTTCAGTGACTAAATCGCCTGCGTGCATGGGCAAACATTTTTTTTCATATAATGGGACAAAAATATCCTCCATACCTGTAATTATTAAAAAAGTAACTTCGTGCGTCTAACACTTAAAGACATGACACACAAATGTGTAGAAAAATGTGGGTTTTTGTTTGAAAAAAGATGTTTTTTAAAGTGTTCAGTGGGGTTGAACTAAAATCCAATCCGTGGATGTGCATTGTGGTATGTCCCATTATATAAAAAAAATATATTTACCGGGAGGTGGTGTCGGGGCCGCCGACGGCGCCTTCGTGTTCGATACTCCGAATGTGCTAAGTGCTTCCGAGGAGTACCCCGTCAGGGATGCCAACACAAGCGGCAGAATGATAGCGGCAACTTGCTTCCGGCACATCTCAAAAATTCCAAACATTTCCGTTTTTGAAACGCAACAGTTTACGTCTAAGGAAATTTTGATGGAGTAAAGTACGTGTATGGTTACGTCTTATATCCTTGTTTATGGTATGGTGATACGAATTTGGAATTGCGATTTGATTTTTGAATTTGAAAAATATTTTCTGTGAGCATACGTGTTGGGCAAGTTCTGGATATCTTATGGATATTATGAAACTCTCGATAACTATCAATGGAGCTATTAAACACACTTTTTAACTGTCTTTTTATTTTAAACTACCAACGAAGAAATATCAAAAAACTTATCCAACACATTGAAGACTACCAATTCAAAATGGATGCCAATAACATATATGTCTACCAAATCATAAATGAAAAATGATACGATTGGAAATCAAATACAATGAGATCCATTTACAAAATAATTCTGACAGCTACAACATCGAATTTAATAATTAATACTGCTATTATATTTATTTAAATCTTGCCGCGTATTTAAAATTAAAATTAAATTAAAATTAAATACTTGAACTGTTAATGTTACTTAATAGGGCCGATTTTTTAATCGTCAGTTATTTTTTAAAAGTAGAATATAAAATTGACATTTGACAGTTTTTTAGGAATGAAGAATTAAGAAGAAGAAAGCATTGACTGCACAGTTGGCGCGGTGGCTGGGCAACCGGAACAACACTTTGTGTGCTCCACAAATTGTTGTTCCGGGTCTGGGTGTCATTGTGTGTGTGAACTTGTATGTTTGTAAACGCACCCACAGGACCCACGCACAGGATAAAATCCAAATATGGGGCAACGTAAAAAAAAGAATAATAAAAAAAGAAAAACGAATCAAATATTCAAAGCTATTCCTCAGTTAAAATTTATCCGGCGTCGGAAAAATCGGCCCTAAGTAACCTTTTTGCAGATGTACAAATTAAGAGTAGGATAAAAATTTTAAATATATCGCAATTTAACGCCCGTATTACCATTTCAAAAGAATATTATTAGACCCTATATTTTCTAGTCTATTAGCGCTAGACCTATTTGCATAACTGCTTCAATTAACCTCATAGTATTTTGCGTAACAAATAAATACGTACCGGCGCCATTTTGAATTATTACGTTGAGCTGTCAGAATTTTAAATATGGCCGCTGTAGAAAAATGGATGATGATGTTAAAAGATAACGTTATTTGAAGTTATTTAGGTTTTTTAGTTAATATTGTAAAGGTTAATGACCAGATCGTAAAATGTAAATATATATTAGTCATTTTTCAAGTAATTATAAGCCCTTTTTGAACATTTCATGTAGTTTGGAACTAATTTGGCGGGTCATAAGAGCTCAAATTGTTTATTTTTTAATTTTAAGTAATTCGCTTTGACTTCTATGTAGAAACATATTTTTTATGGAATATTGGGCAAACAACAAACATATCACCTGATGGTAAGAAGCACTGCCCATGGATATTCACAACACTAGAGAACACAAGTACGGTTAAAAAAATCAACGCTTATGCGTTGTTTTACACCAGTTTCCTGTGAGGCCATGAAGCTCTCCAGTAGATTATGGCCACGTGAAACATATTTGAACATTTAGAACGCTAATCAGTGTAGGTACGATCAGGGGGCCAATTCTCGATTTTCGCCATTTATCTCGAGTTCGACATTGTAAGTCTATCTCTATGTCTATCAAAAATATCTCTATCTCTATCAAAAAATGTCGAATTGCACAGAAATCCGTATTCTCAGTCAAAATAGAAACAAATGTCACGAAAATGTCGAGTCGAGTGAAGATAATGTTACCATTATGCAGAATCGCACGTTCCATTTTAGGTAGTTGTGAGTGAATGAATGATTTTGTCATAAAACGTTCACTAAACCTAATTATTTAAGTTAAAACGGAACGTTTAGTGCAAAAATATTTAGTTTGACAGGACAGTTCCAGTTGACTGTCTGTCAGTGTCACAATTTGGATCTGTAAGCGGTTGTTTCAAAACTTTTATAAGTTCATCATTACTCACTAGTGGGCTATTCTGTTGGACATTTTTATAATTTTCGTTTTAATATGCAGGGAGAGAAAAAATACCCTAGTGCCCAACTTATCCCGACGACGGGATAGGTGCGCTGTTGCCGCCGTGTATTGGCCAGTCGCTCGCCACTTTCCAACATCTCCAAGATAAAAATATTAATAAACTCGTCCATGTTTCAAGTTTCAAGTCCAATCGTGGGTACACAAATTAAAGACCATTATTTACGCGAAGGTCGTCGTTTCAAGAAAACACAATACACAAATTGAAGAGTCTATACTGAATTTCCAATGTTCATACTTATAAGATGCCAAGCCGTATTTTACTTTAAAACGAAAGAAAAGAAAACACTGTACAATTCGAAACTCAACGAATTCACAGAAATGGCGTATCTCAGTATCTCTACAATCGACATGCCATCTCTACTGCTCAGAAGCACTCGACATGAACTCTAACGTTAACCTTCGACAAATGTCGCATTCGACATCTCCAGAATAGCAACTTTTAAAATTTGACGAAAAAATGACGTCATTAGACATTTTTGTCGAGTTCGACATCATCTCTAAAGCCGAGAATTGGCCCCCAGCGCTTATTGCTCGCTGCGTTCTACTTATATTACTACATTTTATATTGAATTTACTCTGATAAGATATTTACATTAACGATCTGGTTATTTTCTAGTCATCATTGCTTAGGAGGTTTAATTAATTATGGAATCTTATATATATACTAGCGGATCCGACGACAGACCATTTAAAAAAGTTGACGGCCAACCTTCAGGAATGAAGTGGCACCATAAGAAAATGAAGATTATTCATGAAAACATTAAATGACTATAAGTACGGCCACAGAGAACGGCGGTTACAAAAATTGCAACCATAGATTCTAAAATTCTACAGTTAACTAAAACGCGTGCGAGGCGATGATGTCGCACGCTGCTCATGAAGACTTTGACTTTGACTTTGAAGCAATCCATTGTTTAACAAGTGATATCCAATAATTTTATCTAATGCCTGTTGTAATTAAAATAAACTTTTTTATTTTTG